TCCTATGTACTTCACCTTGATCTCGAAGCTTCGGATTCCGACAGGCTGTAGCTGGCGAAGTATGTGAGATCTGGAGACGGTGATTGAGGAATTCAAGAATGTGATGGTGGTGGTAAGGCTAATGTTGGTTACGAATAAAGGTCCGACGATGATGGCTTGTACACTTCACGCCGTTGCGATATTGTTGAAGCACGAAGTGGGATTGGTTTATAAATCTTAGTGCTTCGGATTATCCTCTAGTGCCGCAAGACGGTTAGATTCTTCTAAGACATGAATTAGTGTGAAATGGAATTCAAAATTTGATCTGCATTTGGTATTAAATTGGAAATCATTTTTATAGTTGGGTTTTATGGGTCTGCAATTTTTGATGTTGTTTTGATGATTTTGTTGAAATGTATGTTAATATGTGCATTACTGGTATTTGAAGTAAAAAATAAAAAATAAATTTGAGCTTTACTGGCCTAACATTCAAATTCTGTGGCGTGAAATTTGATTATTTGAAAACTAAATATCAGATCTTGAAGAATCTGGAATGTGGCTTTGTTGGGTTAGGTTCAGCTAGAGGAATGGCATGGCATTTTTTTAGGGGTGAGCATGGTCCGGATTGGAACGCGATTAGGATAAAATCAGGACCAATCCGTTATCTACGGTTCCTGAAAAATCGGAACAATACCGATCCGTTTAAATCTTGGAACCAAATCCGAACACAATCTATTTCAACACGGATTGGATCGGTTTAGGACCAAGGATTCACATAATTAAAATAACAAATATATATATATATATAACACTTTAATTTTAATAAAAATATAAACATAGCGCTACATTAGTTTTACAAAGCAACATATTTTCTATATAATAGCGACATAATGTTCTAGAATTTAAACAATCATAAAAAAACTGGTTTCACCATAAGTATTTAGACCACTACAAATTAAAACTAAAAACTAAAAAACAAAAGTAATAAAAGAAGATATTATTACGAGGTTTAGGTTTGAGTTTAATATTTATATATGAATAAGAGAAGATACTATGGGGGAGGATGTATAATAAAAATATAGACTATTTGTAATACGGTCCCGGATCGGTTTCCAATCCGGAACCGTGAGATTCAAATCCGGAACCAATCCGTGGACTACGGATTTTTTAATTCTTCAATCCGGAACCGAACCACGGATTCAAAAAAACGAATCCAAACCTATCGGATTGGACTGGACTGGATCGGATTACGGATTTACGGATTTTCTGCTCAGCCTAGCATTTTTTAAGTATAATTTAAGAATTTTTATTTTTATTTTACCTGAAATACTGGTGCTAGGTTACAATGCAGAAGTTAGATGGGCTTAAAGTTCTCTTTTTGTGGTGATATTCATGGGACATGATGACATGTATTATTGTCCCAAGGCATCCAGTGTAAGATCCAGGAAGAGGCAGATTATTGAAGGAAGTTGCTGAAACCATGCTCTAGTAGTTGGTAGGGAAGTAGCAGGGGAATCACGATATTTCCATGGTCTTGCAAATATCCTTGCTAGTATTTCTTATTAATGGCATAGTACAAAGTCAATTCGAGCATTTTAAGAAAGAATTCACTATTGCCAAGGACAACTATAACTTGAAGAAGATGCTCTGGTAATCAATCAATGGCCCTTTTTTCCTTTGTACAACTGTGTTTGTATGTTGGGGGTTCTTTGTGGCTTGAGAAAAGAGTGATTGGTAATCCAGGATTTTTTGGATCAATTTGGTTTAGTTAGGAGCTTAACTCTTGTCCCTTCTATATTTATAGTAAGGTATCCTTTAGACCAATGCCATGGACTGAGTGTGTGTGTGTGCGCGCGCGGCGCGCACATGTTTTTTTGTTGCCTGTTAGCCAGTTAGGATGTTTTGCTTGTTGAGTGAAGTCCAGCTAACACAGTGATGAATTGATTTGTTTGGTTGCCTTCATTAATTTTCTGGTGCAAATAAGAAATGGGGGTTTTGTTCGTTTAGTTCTGGTGGAAGAATGCTGATGTTCTGCAGTAAATAATGCTTGCCTTATTTTAATTTGGATAAGAGTTATGTAACATTTTCAGCGGAATTTTTCGCTTTCATATTTGGAGTTTTCTTAATATTAGTTTTTATTGTAGGCTGTCTTATGCTAAGTTTAATTTACCTTATAAAAATAAAAAATTTAATAAAAATACACCTCTCTTGTATAGTTTGTAAAGAGAATTGTGGTCTGCTCTTGGCATTTTCAGGTAATTTTTTTCTTATTTTTGCTATCTCTTAACAAAGTGAACCGCAACCTTATTGCATATCATGGTATTCGTCAGTCCACTTTTATTGAATGTCTACTATATTCTGTCTTCAACAAATGGTGATAAAGGGTTTTGTTGACTCATATGTAAATATATATTCTTCTTTGTTCGCAGCGAATTACAGGGTCTCACATCATTCTCAAACTTAGCCTAGGAATCTGAGAAAACTTCGTTGAGAGCTACACAGCGATATTGGTTGGAAAGAGTGAGAAGCATGCAATTTCACGTCTCTGATCTTGTCTTTCCCATAGATTACTTTATTTATACACTCATGGTGAGTTTATCGGTTTTTTTATTTGCCTCATGAGTATGTATTAAATCAATAAGATAAATATCCACGCAAGAGTGTACATGTCTTGCTATGGATATCCAACACAGTAGCCAAGGCCATATCATTATAATATTGATCATCTCAGTCTTGTATCACCCATCAGAAATCCTGGTGTAAGTTAATTTTGGGATAATATACACCAAATAAGATGAAAGCATTCCATGCCTGACTATCATTTAAGTTATTCAGTTAGAGGTTTAATGAAGTTTATAACTTTTCTTCAAACATGTATTGACTATCTATACAACCATATTTATAAACACTAACTGGCATTGAAATTTATTTGTTTTCCATTGGTCCCCATCAGTGGATAACTGTTCCAAGATACCGCGGACTGTCCTTCTCCTTCTTACGTTATCTTTTCCCTTCATTTTTGGAGTGCCCTGACCTTTATTTCCATTGTTAAATGAGTCACTGTGGTTTTACGTAAATCGAACGAGTATCGGCTCAGAAGAAAAAATTGGTTTTCCAACAATTTGTGTAGTTTTTGCAGTTTCAGATTTAAGAAATTGTCTCAAAAACAGATGCATGCGAGCAGTCCTCAAAAATGAGAAAAATTATTAGTGTCCTGGGGCCTGAAGAGCTGCTTAATCAGTGGAAAATTAGGTCTTTGCATGATTTACACCAGTTCTTCGCCCATAGGCATGACTGTTGGTACGTAAGTTACATGCAAATTATGGAACAGCAAAGATTAGGGCAAAGGATGAAATTTTGCAAGGTTGAGCAATGAATGTTAGCCATGGGCATTGCTAAAATGAAGAGTTTCTGGGTTAATTCTAAGGAAGGGCCAAATATTTTGCCGTTCCTTCCATTACTAGAGATAGTCATTTCTATATACACTTTAACTAAATTAGTATATTATAAATAATCCATAGTCATCTTTAACCCCTCCAAACACCACCATGAATTCGTGTACTTAAAGATGGGGCGTTGTTTGTTTTATCCTTATTCTTGTATATAATACAGATTTCCCCCTCACGCCTTTCAACATCTTGTCTAGAGGACTCTGAGTGGGTATTGCTGACAAGATCATTCTTCTTCTTCTTGAATTCTCCCAATTGTGGTTGGGATATTCGTCTTGACTGGACGCTGTAAAGCCACTGGCTACTCCCTCCTCATTGTATTTCTTTATTAATCTATTACCCTGTTACAACATAACATTTTACCTGTTCCTTGTTACCAACGAATTTCCTTTTTCATCATCGCCAGAGGGCTTACTTTCCCCACACCAGTTTTGACGAACAGTATCTGGCCAAAACCCCAAAGAGCTACCAGTAAAAAGCAAAAAACTAACAACACGGTAAAAAAACCCCAAGACTTGCGTTAACATATGGGCATGGAGATATTTCCCTCCGATAGCAGCAAACAAGCCCCGACTGAATTCTGAATGGGTTGGAGCACACAATTTTCCTTGATTTGAAGATAACCTTATGGAGGATGGGAGGGCACGTCCCAAACACAAGAGTACTGGGTTGCCCCTTTTGGTTGCTCGATAGTAAGTTCCAATAACGAAATTGAATCCAGTTTTGGGAGCAAAATATGAATTAAGGGGTGAACTTTCTCTTTTTTAAATTAATAACCACGCGTAAGTACCGATTTTCAGGAATGAGGTTGCTCAGGCCGCGGTTAGACCGCCGCCGGGAGGGTTGGTGTGGGGGAGGAAATTCTGTTCTAGATGAGGAAATTGTAGGAATTCCTCGGGTGGTACACCGCCTGAAGCAGCCGCTTCAGGGTCGGCGCGTCGCCTCCGGTGCCGGATAGCAAGTACGCGAACCTCGGCAGCTCCGGCAGCCCCAAACGGTGAGTTCCGGCGCCGGAATTCGTAATTAAAACTGAGGATTTCGATTGGGGAAGAGAGGTGGAATTTGATTTGTCTTGGGTTGGGATTGTGATGAGAAGTAAAAAGAGAGAGATGGTTGATATGAACAAGAATGGGATTAACCATTTTCGATCGAAACAGAAGAGATTGAGACTGTGAATGCGAGTCCTTTTCATTGAAAATTAGGGTTAGGGTTTTGATGGGTTTTGTGAATCAGGTGAGATTGGTGGAAGAGAAGAGCTGGAATTGGAATTTGAGGGAGTTGGGTATGATTGTGGTGTCGGTTGAAGAAGCTTGGAAGAAGGATTCTGTTTGGCAGTAGGTGAGATTCTGGGTTTGAGAGGGAAAATCAATCCCTGTGTCGGTTGATGCAACTATCTGCCACAAAGTCATATTGTCTGAAAACAAATATTATACCAAGACAAATTTTAATTTAAAATTATATTGTAATGTTAAGGGTGCATCTTCAAAATCGAGAATTTTTTATTTTTTATTTTTTATTAAAAAAATTGAATATGTTTTTGAATTCAAGAATTTAGATGGAAATCATTAGAATTGGATTTAGAGGAAGAGACGGAGAAAGGACTCACTCAAAAGTTGAATTATATATAAATATTAAATATATATATATATATATATATTTTGAACAACCAAAGTCTATAAAAGAAGCCATTAAGGCAAAGAGGAAGATATATTATTTTTAAGAAGAGCATTAAGGGCTTCAGGAGGATTGGCAACCCAATCTAGAGCCAAGCTATTACAAGCATGAGTCTTTGTCAACCAGTGAGTAGCACGGTTGTTTTCTCTAGATGTCCATTGCAACTGTAGATTTTCTTGGAGTTTAAGCTGACGAATATCTAGCATGTAGACGGGAATCTCCCAAGGCGGAACTGTCTCTGAGACCCCCAGCTTTATGTCTTCTTGGTTATCACTTTCAATAGTGGCTGAAGTGAGGTTGCAGGCTTGCGCCAGGAGGGCTACCATGCGCACTGCTTGGGCTTTTGCAGCAAAGGTAGAGGAGGAACTAGGAGACTAGTCCATCCACAAGTCGTCCTTCGGAGTCACAGAGAATAGCAACAACTGAGGCTATATTTCGATTAGTACTGAAACTTGTGTCACAATTAATTTTGAACTCCCCAACTGGAGGTGGATGCCAACCTTGCTCTCCAGGAAGGGTGGATGGGGGAGGAAAGGCACTCAGTGATGGGGGAAATATCGCCAGAGTGTTGGTGTTGGTCCTCTATCCATGCCTAAGTAATTCTTAAGGCAATAGCTGGAGAGGCTGATTGGGAGGTTGTTAAATATGAATTCGTTCCGAGCCTTCCAAATGTACCACCCTGTGAAGAAAATTATGCTCAATAAATCACTCCCTTTCCCAGCTCTTTTGTCTTCCTCCAACCATTGAACCATCCGCTGCTCTATGTTGAGTACAGTCCCTTTCTCCATTCTGAGGTTAAGCATGTTACCAAACCACACAGCTTTGGTCCATGGGCAATCAAAGAACATATGTTCCACTGATTCATCGTCCTTCAAGTAGATGGGGTAGATCCGAGATTGAGAGCAGTGACGTTTGTGGAGATTGACTTTTGTAGCCACAATAGTCTTACACGCTCGCCACCAAAAGTGTTTGATTTTTGGGGGAGCTGCCATTTGCCAAATAGACTTCCAAAAACCAGCAAGGACTTGGAAAAAGCTTGATGGTTGGTTCCGAAACCCTTCCTGCCTAGAGGACTTAGCGAGCCAATAACTAGGTTTGACAGAATACACCCCTGATCTAGTTGGATGCCAAACCAGTGTGTCTGATTTGTCCTCCATAGAGATAAGAATAGATTGGATTGTTTGATATTCTTCCTTTGAAAGAAATTGAAGTAGATGTCCAAGCCTACATTGTTTAAGAACGGGATCAATGGCATCCGCAACATGCACCACATTGCAATTTGACGGTATTGGAGAAAAGAGTTAGAAAGATCTTGCATCTGGGATCCATTTGTCTTTCTAGAAGCGAATAGATTGGCCATTGTGCACCTGTCATCGAGTCCCTTTGTGGAGGAGGTCCCTTCCATGAAGCATACTATGCCAAGCCTAAGAGCCTCATGCTCCTTAAGAGGTGGTTAGGAAGATAGAATGTGGAAAGTATAAACCTTTGTACATTCGGGCCCAATAGGATACAGGATTAGAGAGCAATCTCCATCATTGCTTTGCAAGCATTGCTTGATTGAAAGTCGAAAAATCCCGAAACCCCATGCCCCCATGGAACTTTGATGAATACATAGACTCCCAAGAAGCCCACGGAATGCCTTTGTTCGCTGGATCGCCTTTTCACCAAAAATTCTAAATGACCGTATTAAGTTTGTTACAGAGAGGTTTCAAAAATGTGAAGCAAGCCATAGCATAGGCTACGATTGCTTGAGCCACCGCCTTGATTAAAAATTCTCTCCCGGCACGGGAAATGAGTTTATTTTTCCAACCCTGCAGCTTTGAAGACACTCTGTCTACCAAAAAACCATAAGCTTCAGATTTGGATCTACCCCACCAAGTTGGAAGCCCCAGATATTTCACATTCTGTCTAGCCAAAGGGATACCCAACTCCTTACAGAGCTGGTCTTTTAACTTAGCAGGAGCATTGGCCGAGAAGAATGTCTCTGATTTTTCGAGGTTTATGATTTGGCCCAAAGCCTCGCTGTAAAGTCATAGAAAATGCATCATTTGGGAGCATTCTGAGCTACTGGCCTTGAGAAACAGAAGAACATCATCCGCAAAGAAAATGTGGAACAAAATAGGGCAAGTCTTTTTCATTCGAAGGCCTGATATAACCTTGTTCTGAATACCCCCAACCCGCCCCCCCCCCCCCCCCCATTTGCAACTTCAAAGATGATGATCATACCAAAATCTTGGCTAATAGGCTCAGGTTGTCTCTCACCAAGCTTATTTCACAACAACAGGCGACCCTTTATATTCCGGGTAGGCCTCATTCAAGACAAAGTATCCTGGTGGCACATGAGGGGTTTATTTTTGCAGGCAGAAAAACAGGTGGTAGGCATGCTTATCTGCTTGAAATTGAGACTTTAATAGGCTTATGGATCGATTCAAATGGATTTCCTCAAGGCAGTGCCTCGAAAGTTGGGCTTTCATGCTACTTGGACCCGCTGCGGTGATGGACTGTTTTCACTACGGTTCATTCTCTGGTGTTGCGAATGGCGGAGAATAAACTTCCTTACACTCCCTCCATGTGGTCTCGTTCAAGGTTGACCCCTTATATTCCTTACACTTTTCATTCTTGTAGCTGACACTCTTTCTTAAACTGAATCGTTGGGCGGGTA